TCCTCCACACAAAAGGTATAAAACACAAAGGATTTTCAGTGCTCTTGAACAAATATAGGTAACAGAAACCACCTAAATAACCCATTAGAGTCATTAGACCACCTGAAAAGTAAAGACAGTTATACTGAACAAATATTCCCTATTCACCTCCCACTGGCACCATTTGAACAACTCACAGAAATAACATAAAGGGCTATCAGGGTCTGGATTTCCTGTCTCCCTTATGGTGTGGTTTTAATCCCAAAGCTTCAGGGTGCTTCTGTTGGTAGCTGTCATCTCTGAGAAGCATGCTGCTAAGTAGATTTCCTACTGGGTAACAGATACTCAACTGTCAAACCCAATGTCACCCATGAAGTAACCCCAGGGCTAAAAATGTTCTTTCTCAATATTCATACTCTCTGAAAACAGAAGGGGAGACAAAGTTAGCCAAGAAGTCAAGGTCTACAAACCCTCCTCTTAGGGAGATAAGTATATGTCTCTGGGGAGGCTAGGTGGTACAGTGGATACAGCACTGGCCCTGGAGTCAGGAGGACCTGGGTTCAAATCTGGTCTCAGACACTTACTAACTGTGTGACCTTAGGCAAGTCACTTAAACAAGATTGCCTCAAAAAATAATGTCTCCCACTGCCATTTGCTCCTGCTTCTAATCACCATTACTCCTCATGGTTGGGATGGGGCAGGAGAAATTCCTTCCACTGTCCCTCACTTTGCCACATTCTAGTCTGGAAATCCAATTGCTCACTCTTATAGATTGCATCATGGGTAATTACCATAACAAAAAAAAATATGTTCCATCTAAATGTCAGTCACCAATCATCTTGGAGGAAGTCCAAGACATGGGAACATGTCTAGTTCCATGGCCCCCTAACCAACTTGAAGAGATTATAAGGAATTACTGGATTTATCAAAGGCTACCCTAATCAACCATCATTACACATAGGGCAAGTACTATTTTCAGACAGTCAGTGGCAGACCTGGGACTTTGATATATGTCTTCGCCTCCAAGTGCAGTGTTCTTTGACTAAACCATCCTCAGCTTCTTGTTCTTTCTAGTAACCTAATCAGCACCATAATCCTGCTCTTCCCCATTCTCCATGCTTTCTCCCCACCCTGCCACCAGTACCTTTGAGTAAATAAAGGATTTTCTATTTGATTCTAGAGGTAATAGGGAATCACTGGACTTTGTTCATTAGGGGGATGGCATTGTCAGGGATTCACATTAGGGAGTTTGCTTTGATAGATTGTGGTAGAAGGAAAGGAGCGTGAAGAGATTTGAGAAAGGAAACCAATTTGGAGATTTGCCATAGTACAGGTGAGAGTTAATGAGGATGAGGAAATTAACTAGGGTGGCAGCTATCTGTGTAGAGGAGAGGGAAGGCATTCTTGTGTCAGTATAAACACGATTTAATAAGTAGCGGCCAGTCATGCTAGGAAAATACTAGACTGAGTGGAGTTCAAGAAGCTTGTCTCTAGCCCTGGATTTGTCATTGATGAGGTGTGTGTGTGTCCTTGGGCAAATCACTTAAGCTTGATTTCTTCAATGGAGCAGATGACCTTAAAATTCTCAGTAGCATCTCTCCCATGATATTTCTATTTGAACAAGGGACCAAATTCCTTTTTGGCTAAGATTTTGAACAAATTAAGCTCTAATTGGGCAATTTTTGGCATTAGGGCAGTGAGTCAAGTGGATTGAGGTGCATCCCTGAAATGACATTGTGAGGCAAATGTTGGACTCAAAGAATGTTAACTCCTTTGAGGGTAGGGCTTATTTTTATTTTTACCTTTGTTTCTCCATACCTTTACACAGTGCCTACACATACTAGGTGCTTCATATAATGGACAGATTGAATTGTTCCTTGGGAATTGTGTGAATGATGGTTCATTTTTCATTCTTGTCCACCCCTCCTTATACTCTCATATAGGATAAATGAATTTCATTGCATAGCGACAAGGGTATAGGGGCTATGCAATGAAATTCATTTATCCTATATTTTTCTATCATCTGGCTTATTTAATTAACAAATCTGTTGACAGAAAGAGGCAAAAGAGCCCACTTCCAAGTAAAGGAGATTTAAAATTTGCCTTTCCAGAAAGCTTGCTCCTGACCCCTCAGGCCCTCCAGCTTTTCTCCTGCCAACCTTTTGTTATCTAATCCACAACCTGCTGAGTCCTTCTAAGGCAATTCCACCATTCACTCTTCTGCTGGCAATGGGCTCTTTATTTATATATGTATATATATATGCATATATATACATATAAATATACATATTCATCTCTTCAGGATGGAGATGTGAAAAGAACACTGGACTTGGAATCAAAAGACTGGGCTTTACATCCTGGCTTTTATCCTAATTAGCTAAGAGACCTAGAGTAAGTCATTTGCATTACCTGAGTCTTTGTTTTTTTTTTTTCATCTGTAAAATGGGCAGGAGTTGCACTGCCTCCCTCAATAATTAGTTGTGAGGATCAAAGGAGGTTATGTATGTGACATCCCATCGAATCCAACAAGCATTTCTAAAGCACCACTATAAATCCTGCAAAAAGAAGAACCATCCCTGGCATGCAAGACATCAACAAATGAAAGTGTCAGACAACCACAAATAGCTATTGTTATAACTACACCTTTAGGGCACTTACTTGCACTACTTTCTACCACAGCTGGCTAATGCAAACTATTCTACCTACACCAGAGTGTCCTAAAGATCAAAGGAGATGCAGTCAAACCCTTTGTAGGATGTAAAATGTTACAGAAAAATCAGCTATTGTTGCTGTTTACATCTCCTTGTCTCTGTAATTAGCATCAACCTCTCCACTTTCAAAATGCAAGTGGCTATAACCAGGCACAGCAAAACATGGTTTCTTTGGCCTCTGGTCCTTCCTCAAATGTTCCTGAAGAATATGTCTTTGCCTGGAATACTCTGTCCTTGCCTCCATTCTTGACCAGTGGGGTCAAATTCAAATAGAAATGGGATCCACCGAACCTTTAATGAGGAGCCCTTTGGACGTACTGACTTAGCTTTAAAATGTAACATTATCAAAGTTTTGTTTTATTTTTTTATTTCATTATTTTCCAATTACATTTTAATCCGGTTTTTGAGCCCCACTCAGAAGTGTTACGGGTCTTATGCAGCTGGGAGTCTTTGACACTTCCCTCCATATCTCTATTCTCTGTCTCTTGAAATTCGGGGCTTACTTGCAGTGCCGATCCAGGTATCCCCTCCCCCATAAAGACTTTCCTAATCCTCCCAGGTCACCCACTCCTTCACTGAGCAGTTTACAATGACGTCTCCCTCCTCGGATTTCTCACAGCACACTGCCTGTATGCCCATCAACCTTTTGCAGGATTGTTACTTCTGCACACTTCATTCCTGCCATTACATGGTCTGTGTCCTGTCTTGCATATAGGGACTGGACCTGTGCCTTCCTTGACATAGGGAACTCCCATGTGACAAATCAGTACCTTCCTTGCAACTCACAGTTTTAGAGATCTGCCTAGAGCACTGAGAGATTGAATGATTTGTCCAGGGTCATCCGGCCAGTGCATATCAGAAATAGGACGAACCCGGGTTTTCCTGACTCCAAGGCTAATTGTCTATTCGCTACATGATGCTGCCTATTGTCTGAGCTTAACACATGAGGGTTCAGTTGAATTGATCTCTGACATTTGCCAAGAGAACCATAGATCATGCCTACAGGACAACACATCTTACCCACAGAAGGTGATTAACAATTGATTGTTTAATTGAAATGATCATTTAATTGAAATGACTTTAACTTGTGAAACACTGAGTTAATCATCTAGATGACTCAGACTCATGATAGCAAACATCCTGATATCCGTGTGCATTGGTATGGCTGAATTTTTCGTCTCTCATCTGATGCTTGATGCTGTCTGTTAAAAATCCAAATCGTCCTCTCTGAGATAACAAAGCTGAAGCTCAGAATTGTAGAAGGCACAGACTTATTTGTAAAGAAAGACACATTTTTATATTGGTTCACACACTCCCTCCTCTGGTCCTCAAGCAGCTATTTCATCCTGAAATAAACATTTAAATGAGAGTTGGTTAGGCCGCTTGCTTTTTTTTTGTTATGTTTTTATTAATTTTTTTTTTTATTTTTTGGCCCTATAACGTTTCTAGGCACACATTTTGCTGGCAGGCTGCTTACAGGTGTAGCTGATCCATCTTTCCTAGATGAGTTCTATAAGCTATCAGGCTAATCACTATCTTACCAGGTTCCTTTTCCCCATGCACTCCTTTGCAATATGCCAGGTGTTGGTTCAACTTTTGCAAATCTCCACTGAGAAATAAAAGCATCCTAATAATTCTTATTTGGAAACTGGTGATGATTGGTTTCTGTATTATCCATAAAGGTAGCTGAGAACAGGTGACAGGAATTAGCCACAAAATAAGCCCACATGCTCCTGCTAACACCTTAGGTTCCTTGAGGTAGCCTTCCTACATTCTGCAAACCAGACACAAACACAAACAGAGAATGAATATCAGAGCTCAGAAGAGGCCTCAGAGACTATCTAGTGCAGATCCCTCCTTTTACAGATGAGAGCAGCAGGTGATTATTAGTTGACTTCAGGTTGTGAGAGGGGTAATGACTTCTCAGGTGTCACAAAGCTAGTGACAGAGTCAAGTCTAGAACTGATTCCCATTTCAGAGCTCTTAAGCCCTAAATTCTCATTTTTTTGAAAAATCAAAAAGCCTTGCCTTTTCTTTCCTGGAAACCTACACATCTTGAAATAGATATCTGGTTGGGTGTTGGGGTAAAGTTTTTCTCTGGTATGTGCTTTCATTCTTTCTTTTTCTTCTCTTTTCTTTATCCCCCGTGTATCCATTTGGCATTGTTCATGCGTCAGCCTATCTCTTCCTCATTTCTCTTCCAAGGGGAGGGGAACCAGTGGCACAGTGCTGCCCTCTGATTGGCTGGCTGGGCTGGACTGGCTTATAAAAGAAACTCAGGCAGGTTCAAAAGGAAGACTCTCAGAGGATTCTGACAGCATCCTGCCTGAGACAAAAAGGCACAAACAGAAGCGACAGCTGCTCCTGCCGTGTGTCTCATCTGCACTTTGAAGACGAACAAGAAATCAAGATGTGTAAAGGACTCGCTGCCCTGCCAGCCACTTGCTTGAGGAGGTAAGGTTGTTTTTATGCATCAATTATGACAGATGTGCTGTATTAATCTGAAACCTCTTGTGCAGGGTGTCCCAAAAGTCTTGGTGTAGTTTGGAGCTCAAAAGTGCAGACTTTGGGGATACCCTGGATTTGCATTCAGTCAGTGCAACACCAACTTCCTAGACTTTTCTCAAAGACTAGATATGAATAGTGACTTAAGGAGTATTTTTCCTCCTTTACTTCTAATATCTATATGCTGTGTAACTGGTCCTCTAGTCCCAGTTAGAAGTCTGGGGGAGAAGTGTTAGATTTTTGTCCTTAATGCATAGAAATCTGTATCATTGTCTTTGAATGATGTCTAGTTAGTATTGCCGGTATGTGGATTTTCTGATTGCATCCATTTCTCTGCTAGCAATAAATATCGACTCTAGACAGTTTTTCTGCAATGACATATCATATTACTGCTATAAAAAGTATACTATTGTGTAAAGAAAAGAGTGCTCTACCTGGCTGTTTGACCTTGAACAAATTAGCCTTTCTCTGGATCTCTGTTCTTCTGTAAAAATGAAGGTTTGGAGTTGATGATCTCTGGGATTTCTTTCAGTTCTATTGTTCCAATTCATGGATTTTATCATTCTGTATTTGGAGATCTATATTATGCTGTATCAGTGAAATACTCTACCCAAAGGGGCATTAAAAACCAATGTTCACCAAAATTCTGGTGACTCAGTATCTTGGGTTTTCTGTAACACATATTTGGAGTAAATAGCATAGGGATACAGTTGTGCCTTTGGAAACCACTTGGTTTTACTAACAGAACTTATGATATAATTAACAACCAATAATCTAACCAATGCAGTGAGCCCATCCCAACTCCACTAAATTAGCACACACAGGGATCTGGCTAGCCATTACAATCAGTAACCACAATGTGTTCAGCTGAATTCTTAAGTTTTTAAATTCTCTGCTATTGTTTATCTGTCAAAGAAAACTCACTTTAAGACATTTTGCTTATTTTGCTGATGTATGTTAGAAACTCATGGTTAACTTTTATTAACCTGTCACACTCCCCAACCCTTCATAACTCATGTGATATTGTGCACAGAGCTGATGCGTGCTGAGGCATAAGGCTATATTTTCATATAAACAGAATGTTTTCAAATCTCGCCTCCCTCACTCCTTCCCAGCTTTTGAAAGGCTCCATATGAGTGCACTGTGGCTGAGAGGAAGTTTACGCTGCAGGCATTCTGTAAAGGAATCCACAGAAGATTACATCCTAAAGATGGTTCCATGTTATTTAACCTTTAAGGCAATTTCAGCTGCTGACATGTATACAGCTCTTAAGAAAATGGGCCATAGAAATGCCTACAGGGGCCCCTAACACATAAAGCATCTGAATAAATAAATGAACGGCTGCTGTTTTTCCATGCTTGTTGTCTTAAAGTGGAACAAATTCAGTTATTGTTTTTAAAGCAAATTCAGAGCAAGGTCGTCTGTCAGAGAGAATAACTTTAATTCCTACTGGTGACAGATCCAGTTTACCAGATCCCTCTGATTCTTACCAAGGAATTTGCCTTCAATTCCAGGACAGCCTCTTCCCCTTGTCTTTTCGAGGACTGTTAGAAAGATACCACTGATCTTCTTAGAATGGGGGCAGTAAC